CCAGGCCCCCCCGCCCGCTGCCCCCCTCGGCCTCCAGGACCACGGCGGCTGCGACGGGCCCCTGGGGTCAGAGGGCGACTTCCCCGGGGTCCCAGCACCGGGGGCAGCCTGAGCTCTGCTGCGAACCCCAACGCCAGAGCTACCTTTCAGGGCAGAGATCCCAAGCACCGAGCCCCTGTCCACGCTGCCACAGCCGAGTGCAGACACACAAAGTCGGGTTTTCTCTGCAAGACGCCCCCGGCCCCTCCGGCCGCTACTACAGGCCCGTGTCCTCTGGAGAGATACAGGCAGGGGAGATAAAAAAAGCCGCGTAGCACATTTTGAAATCAAAACAGCACTTCATTAAAAGAGAGACACATGAAACGAGTCAATATTTATTCTTTCTTCTCGCTGTCCTCAGCGCTGGGGTCCGCGGGTGGCTCCTCCACCGTCGCGCTGTTGCTCTCAGAGCCCGTGTTGCTGTCGCTGGTCCCCTCCTCGGCCGTGCTGTCGGCCCCTTCCTGGCCGCTCTCCTTATCATCCGGGGTGGACGTTCCTTCTTCTCCGTTCTGCTGGTTTTCTGTGCTCTCCTCTGGGTGAGGCTCTTCTGTAAGGAGATAGTCCTCGGTGTCATTTACATGCTAACACATTGACTTCGGCTGTGCAATTACAGTTTAGGACAAAACAGAATCTGTAAGAGATCCGAGCGTTCCACAGCAGAGCAGAACGTGCCCTAAGAGGCTCCGACAGAGCTCCGGGTGCTCTGGATGTCCCTGGTCCTGCTGCAGAGTGACCAGAGTCCCCGGGCAGTGCCTGCCCTCTGCGCTCCAGCCACAAGGAATCAGCGTGCCTTCGCAAACCCAAATTCCCTCGAATTCTAACCCCTCAGTCCCCTTTCCCTTACACTCGTGCTGTCACGGCAACGCCTCACGGAGGTATCAGCCACCCATACTCTGAAATACAACAGCATTTTCTAACACTAAGGCAGAAACACCTGCACAGCAGCTCCTACCAGCAGCAGCACAGAGAAGTGCTGCTCTTTCGTCCCTGCTCAACGTTGACACCGGCCCAAGAGGACGCTCTCAGCTGCTCCCCACTAACCAGTGACTAAAGGGGAGTTCGCTTTAGAAGGGATTTTTTTTCCCTTGGGTGCATTACAGACAAAGCCTCACATGGGGCTTTGTGGTATCTCACCCTTCTTCCTTTTTCAAAAGGAGCAATTTAATAAGAAAGCAAACACCTGCATTCAGGATGAAGCTGACTGCTCTGAAAGCCAGAAGAAAGGCTTCAGAAGAACAAACAGCAAAGCGACAGCGCACTCCTGGCTCAGCTGAGGCCCTGCGGAGCCCCCTGGGACACGACAGAGACCCTGCAGTGCCGATCCTTCGAGGATTCTGCAGCTGGTGTTCAACCGCAGTTACCTGTCTCCATCGGAGCACTCTCCTCTTCTTTCTTCTCCTCTATCTTGTTAGCTGCCTGTTCCTCCTCAGCTGCCATGTTACTCTGACTGCGCTCGGCTTGCTCAGCTGCTTCTTTTTCCCTCTCCTCCTGCCTCTTGCGAGCCTGTTCCTCAGCTTGAGCAATTTCAGCTGCGATTTTTTCCATATCCACTTCCACCTTCAAACTGCATAACTAGCATTTAAAAAAAAAAAACCAAAAACAGGAAAGCTCTTTTACTACCTCAGTTACACTGAAGAACAAAACATCAGGCAAACCCAATTATGAGTTCAGTATTTCTACATGCTGCATAATTCTTCTGATTTGACAAAGCTTAGATTAAAAGCTTCAGGAACTAGGGAGGGAGATCCAGGCACGTTACACGCACGCAAAGGGGGATCAACAAACAACCTAAACCTTATCAGAAGGCAGCTGAGGACAGAGCAGGACGTTCCCCAGAGGGGCTGCAGGCTCCTGCACTGCCTGAATGTCACCACTGAAGGTCACTGATGGAGCACGAGATGCCTCAAACACGGCCCTGGCTCATGGAGCCCCCCCCGGGTGTCTGTGGGTTCCAACACAGAACAGAAACGGGCAGAGCACTCGCACACGGGGGTAACTAGCAGATTCCTCACAGTAAGAGGAGAAAAGGGAGAGCTGTACCCTTTTAAGTTCGTTGTTAAAGGATTCTGTGCTTTCCAAAAATTTCCTCTTCTTTTCCTGGTGACGCTCCTCGATCTGCAGAAGCTCAGCTTCCAGTTTACGCTGGAAATGAAACAGATGGGAAGAACCTTACTATGTAGTCATCTGAAAAAACCGGGCAAAGTTTACAGCTACATACAAAAATATTTAGACTAGTATTTTAAAACATAACCCATGTAACATCCTTGTGCCTTCCTTGATCCAATACCCAATAGCTAAGAAGTTCATACTGAAAAGTATGAACAGTAAATGGGTCCCTGCAGTAATTCAGGGTTGGCCAGGCGTATTATAAATGAAAATCTGTGTGTACTTGAGGTGATTTCCAGCATAAAATGTACGTGTTTTCTTTCATATTATACACCCCACAGGTATACACACACACCCACCCCCCCCCAGCTACTTTTGTTAATGCGGAAAGACCACAGTTCCAAGGAAAGCAGGATACCACCCCCCTCCAAATCCTCTTTTGTTCATTAAAAAAAGCAACCATTTCCTATCTAATCCTGGTCTCCGTTTTCTTCACCTACACTGACAGGGTTCTTTTGTTAACACACATCTGAAAAGTACAGGCGTGCATCCAGTCAGAGCTGGGCGACACAGGCAAGCGTGACCTCACTAGATCGCCTTGTATGCATTTAACTTGAAAAAGGGTACAATAGGGAGGATTTACTGTAATAAAGAATCGCTACAAACAAGATTATGAGTCATAAACTCCTCAGAAGTCGCAATTCTACCAGTCCCTACTGAACAGAAGACTTACACTACACGCAGAAGGGTTATGTGTAACGATGAACAACTATGGAATTAATACTGAAGTTTAACAAATCCTGCTCAGGATGATTCTCAATGCAAGACAGCACACAAGGTGAAGGCTCCCATCCTGCAGTTCCCCAGGAAAGCTGGGGATCAGCTGTTTGAGCTCACAGAACCCCGACACCCAGCAAGAGCAGTCTTGCAGACGATCAAATGATCCGAGACCCGGAGTGCAGCCCAACGCTGTTACGTTTTCGCTGCCTTCACATCTTTTTTCTTTACCTGATGAACCATCAAGGACTGAACCTGGCGTTTAAGAACTTGCATTCTAGCTGTAGTGACAACAGAGCGGACATCAGGCACCACGCTTTCACTCAGAATCTCACTGATGAGACGATGGTTTCTCTGGAAACGAGCTGTGGCTGTGTGCTTCATAGAAAATCCATCGTCGTAATCTGCAACAAGAGGTTTAGGTGTTAACTGCTTTAATTCCACAAAAGGAGTACCAAGTCTAACACCGTACCCACGTTTTCACTAATTAAAACCAAAAAGCCCCCAAAGCACTGGCTGCTGTCATGTCAAAGTTCATACTAACAAATACAGAACACCAGGTAATCAGAAAAAAGACAGTGTGAGGACAGAACACTTCACCCTGGCACAGCTCTAACAGTGATGATCTTCCACATGTTTGAAATTTGGATTGACCCAGTTATCTACTGTGCTGCCTTCACGTTTCCAGAGTAAGAGGGACTATTAATACACCAAATAAAAAACAACCCATTCCTGATTAATCGTATTACCAGAACAATAACCAGTGCAGAAATACCAGCAGGAGAGCGACTCCTCTATAAATAAGGTTTGCAGCACAGATTAAAAAGACTTATTTCTTTTGAAACACTGAGGAATGAAAGCATGAAGCAGTGCTACATGTTTATTCATCAGTGAAAACTCTTAGTACTGGATTAAGAGTTTTCCATTATTTCTTTATTTTAGTAAATGCAGTTCTCTAAAGAACAGTTACTGAAAAAAATACACTTCAGGAGAAAAAGTAGAGAAGCACACAGGTCACACGCTGGCTGCCTTAGAAGCTTCTGGCAGAGAAAAATTAAAGGAAGCCCAACAGGAACTAAACTGTCTTGTTTGACAAACATCTAGAGGATTAACTTCAAAGATCTGACAATATTTCAGGTCAAGGATCTTTTTTTTATCCCCTCTTTCTTCAAATTAAAAGAGCTTCCAATTTATGGCAAGATACTGAACTTCTGACAATTCTGATCTAGTCACAGAATTTAACGTGAACTGCAGAATTATGGTTTGTACTAGGCACTCATTTTAAAAGTAAAATTCAGTTTGATGCTACAAAGCAGAACGAACCCACATGCTTTCCTGTATCTAGCAGCACTCAAAAGCTTACAGCCCACAGACGTCTTCCTATTTTTTCTGTTATTTCTTCAAGGAAAGCAAGCAAAGCCTTTCAACACAATAAAAATCAAAACACAATCTGCAGTTTTGGTATCAAGAACCTACCTACAGAACAGATAAAAGAATTCAAGTCAAACTAATTAGAAATAAAAGCACAGTAATTAAATAGCGTTAAGTATTGGTGAGAAAATCAACTCAGAAGAAACTTCTAGTATAATTCATATCTGACTGAGCATTAAAATCAGTTAAGCAACAGGGATGAATTATCCTCCAGAATGACACGTAGAGCAGTCCTGGAGTTTATTTTCAAGTTTTCCTAGCGGAGATTGCTCTCCAACTGTTCACATAAATCTTGAGAATCCTAGCATACAAGAAAATATTATCAAAGATAACCAGTTTAATAAAAGTTTCCTTCCCCTTAATTTCAAAGTGTTATCTTCAATTTCTCAAGTATCTGATTAAACGAAGCAAAAAGAGACACAGCAGGAAGACGAGAGATTTGCAAGAGACAAGTAAGTATTAAGCAAATTGGTCTCCTTAAAGCTGTGCCTTTGTCCTCTTAGTGCCCCTCTTATGCTAAAAGTTCTTGACCCCACTGACACACAGGATGGGACAGAAGTAATGCTTCTGTCACAGAAAAGAACTTGCTGCTTTGTCCCAGATGTCAACAGATGCAACTCAGGGCCTCATGCAGCTGGTTCTGGCTGAGTTCACTTGGCCCCGGGTAGCACAGAACAGAACTGAAGTTCCCAGATGCCAACTCGTGGAGCACTAAATCTACTGACATACATCTTGCAGTTACCTCACACTGGGGAAGGTGCTGTTTGCCATGAGCTTTATCTCAAGGGTGTGCTTTTACAAGGGAGCATGGAAAAAAAAAAAGGGTGTAACTGACTGAGTACATTTTTCACCCTCAGGTTTCAACAAGCATTTGGTCATGAAAAGTAGACACGAGGTGTTTGAGGGAGTTTTCCCACTGGGCGGGGTGCGTTTCCTTGCAGTCAAATAAACTTTCAGAATCTTCTCACCAACTTGTCAACAGCAAGGGTAACTTATTTTCTAAACAATCTCAAATGACAGTTGTTGAAAAAAATTCAAAGTTCAGGTGCTCTTAATCAGAGCAGAACTCTTGCCTGTCAGAATTATTTGCTTGTAGTAATAAAGCACAGAATTCTATCCAAGCTGGATTAAATCAGGCATCTAAGCCTTTTATAACGCATATGTTAAAGCCATTACAGAGCTCTAAGCAGACTTATTTGTTTTGAACTGTAAGGAGTACTTCACATATAATTTAAGGGTTGCCACCTGAGGTTTTGGAAACAAGGCAGTCTGCTGTTTGCTGTATGAAATAAAACGTGACAATGAAAATCGGTATTGAAGGTACCAAAACAGAAAGGAAGTGAAAGTTGTACACACGGGAGTTTTCTGTATCTGCCTTCTCTACCCTGTTGGTCTGCCCCGAGACCATCTCCCCGGGGGGCACACGAATCCCTTCTGCTTACCATCGGGGTCTTCTGCGGGCTGAATGCTCATGTAGGGCTCCCCCTTCTCCATGCGGGACTGCCTCTGCCTGCTCTCCTCCTCCAGCGCAGCCTCAGCGCGGCTTTTGGCGTTGATGTAGGCCAGGTAGGCAGGAGAGTTGTGGTAGGCCTTCATGGACTCATTGTACTCTATCTGAAACGTGACCAATATTGTTTGATTGCACCATCGGACGATTTCAGACCCGACATAACTGTAGTCTGTAACTCACACTGCAGTTACACAGACAAAGCTACTTTGAACCACCTGGCTGATACACAAATGACCACAGTCTTTCAGTCTTCCGACAAATTAGAACTTCTTCCATAGTCATTCATGTTTTAAAAACACTAGCTGGGCTTTTAGGTACATTGCAGTTTTATGACCTGAGAAGTCTCACAACAGCTTTGTTTTTTGAGATTTAAAAACCAAACTCCTCAGAACAAGGCCTTTATGATCAGGCAAATGCTGATAAGATTTTTTAAAAAATGAGTTAAGATAGTCTCAATATTTCTCTGGAGTTCTAACTAGATCTTTGATTCTGATTTCTTCTCTTTCCTTATTCCAGTCTGTCATGAACCAGTTTTCAAAGTAACTGATGATTTTTCCGTTCTTTGGTCCATCCCTGCACTGGGATGATATAGAATGCTGCCGCCAGACTACTGCCTCCTCCTGGCAGCAGGACTGCATCACTACTTTCACCTTCTTTGAAGTACATTTCCCTTTGAATTGCTTTCTTTGACTTTTAAAATTTGCCAAGTCTTGATTTCATACAGTGATTTGAGGTATTTCCAATGAAAAAAAATGAGATATAATCTACAATACTGTTAAAAGTACCTAAACATCCTGGTTTTTTTTTTTTGTTTTGTTTTGGTTTGTTTTTTTTTAATGATCAGGACTGAAATCCTTCTACCTAAGCACTGTAAAAATATAAACAAGTTGGCCCCTGCCCCAAGGAGCTTACAATCTAAACATCATTATGAAGTTAAAAAATAGAATTCCTTGATTTTTTTTTTTTTTTAATAACTAAAAGCATCCAGCTTTGAAGGACTTCTCTATTGACCTGGAATAAAACCAGCTTAGATTTGACCAGGTTACACACAGCCTCAGATGCCTACCAGGTTTAAGTACAACACAGCAGCTGGACAAGTTTCCCTTTGTCCTCAGGATCACAGTAACAGTCTTGTAAAGGTCCTCAACACTTACCAACCTAGACAGGAGTTAGCTGTCATCTTTTGTCATTAAGATCAATAAAACCAAACCAAAACCACGAGAAAATCCTAAAAGTGGTAGCATCGGTCTATTAAGAAACAAACCACTATGTCATAGCATGGAGTGACACCAGATGACACCATGAAAACCAAGCCCTACGTGACTGGAAGTCTTTTACGAACACGTTCATGGCAATAGCAGTAGTTGCAGAGCACCAGTTTTGAAAGAGGATTTTGGTGTTGAGACAATCTTTTCAATACTGATGTTGTACAATCAAATCCATTCATTAAACAGTTAAAACCGACACTCAATTATAAATACTTCATTTTGAATTAGGTCTAAAAACTGACCAGTCACAGTTGATGTACAGTTATTTAAAAAAAAAAATCTAAAAGACGTGTCAGGACATACTTCCATTTAAGTTACGTACAGGGGTCTCGTGAACGCCTCATACACCACTGCATGGGTAAGATGAATTTTTCTTCTCAGACCAGTTCCTAGAAGAATCAGCTGTAATAAACATCCCAGATTTCTTCCATTTACCTTTTCAGCTTCATATTCATTCAAATACTCTTGCTTCTCTTCATCAGTGAGATCTCGCCACATTCCTCCAATAATCTTGCCAATTTCCCATAACTTCAAATCAGGATTGGACGCCTTCACTTGGTCCCAGACCTTAACAGAAACAGCTGGAGCTTTACTAATGATATCTAAATACTTCCAAATTAAACATTTTATATTGTCATCTCAGTGTTCTTTCTGGAATCACCATGAAAAACAGGATTAAGTTAGGAATGAGTCTGGCTAAACTATCTCGATTATTTTCTGGGGCAGGAAGTCAGTAGGAAGCCATCTACTGAAACAGGCAATTGCTGAAATGGCTTGGGTTTCATGGGAATATTGCCTTTAACCCTCTTAATTCTCTTCTTAAATGCACATCGCTGCATCTCTGGGAAAAAAAAAATGCTACTGAGTAAACACATCCAGCAGAGGATTACGATAAAGAGCACTGAGCTTTTCAGATCAGAATGTAACATTTCAAAATATTTTTCAGTCTTGCTGATCAATTTGTGTTCCAACAAGTTCTGACTCCACCAAAAAAAGTTTCTAACTTTATAGGGAAAAAAAAAAAAAAAAGAAAAAAAGAAAAAGGAGAGAGCTGCCAGTGTTATTTCTTGCTGCGCCACTTGATTTTTTTTTTTTTTATTTTTTGTTGATGGTTTTTTGCCTAAGACAGACATGCTGGTAAAGATACTTTACCAGAAGTGGAAGAAATTCCTTCTGGCTCACCCGCTTCAGACAGGCTGACATGCCCTCCCCATGCCCCATCAGATTTCAGACTCCACAAGAGTCTCTCTCCTACTTTCTGTCAAACAGTTCACAGAATAGCGAAGTACACGTTGCCACGGGCTAGGGTGGTGAAGGAGAACATGCAAAGTCCACTCATTGCTACTCTTCCGTCCAGCTACAGCACTGTACCAAGCCCAGTATACCGCAAGGAATACTTCCTTTATATAAAAAAGTTCTGTCAGTAAGTCACAGGAACTTCTGAATGTGGCAGGGTGGATCCTTGTCAGCAGAGACAGTGGTAGTAATTAGCATTTTAGAGAAAACCTTTCCCCCCGGAAATTGGCAACTGTCTGAGCAGACTACTGCTGCCTTTATTCTGAAGGGCAACGCATCTGTACTTTACAATTCCCTTAAAAGAACGTGCAGGCTGTTAGAAGTAAAGGTTTAGAAGCTGAAACTAAGATAATAGCAATTAATTGTTAGCACGTACGAACGCTAATTTTTATTAGGACTTGTTTGACACCGTATACCCACCTTCCGGCTGTACCTCATGTAGGGCATCAGGGGCTTGTCTGGGGGTTTGGGGGGCTTTGGAATGGTAATACCAGAGGAAGCCTATAAGAGAACCGGATAAAGCCATGCGTTAACGTGAACACTCAACAGTTTCCATACACACTACTGTTGGAAAACACCCCTTCTTGTGCAGTTAACACAAACCAACTGCACACCCCCCACCAAGAGAAGGAACAGCACCAAAAAAGAGACCCAAACTGCGAACAGGTACTAACTAGAGCTGGTCCTCAGGTTAAGATTTTTCTCATTTAAGTTTGACCTTTTATCTGTAACTTTACAGAGCAGTAGCTAGACAAATGTTCAGAAGGGCTCCATATTCTTAAAAACTGAAATACAGAGCTTAGAAAACGTACATGGAAACACCAATCCCAGCGGGTTGTTTTTCCTCACTTCCGCTGAGCAATTTATTTTACCTGTTTTGACAAATCTAATGTGGCTACTGCACAGGTGAAAAGAAACTAAGGAGAAAGTTTCTGATCATGAAGCCAGAGATGTATTTTCTTTTTCAAATCATTTTAGCAATATCATTTGTCTGCAAAATTTGTCAGTGGTAATTTGGAGCCAATTAAGCTACCCATTGTGAAAACAAAAAACCCCCCCACGCGCTGAGCTGTCAAGGCGTGCGTTACGTGTACCCAAGCTGTACTTCACTGTCCAAACTAGCCTGCAACAGCCTCGCTCTTACCTTCCTTAGGTGCGCATGCTGTCAGGCACACTGCTCCCCCTGAACAAAAGGGCACTGAGCACTGACTGCTGCTGCTGAAAAGCTGCTCAGCCCCTCTCGTCCCCTCAACCTACAGAACACCTGACAGGGCCTTCTCCTAAAACAGCGCAGTAACGTTACGGCCCCCATCGACCGCAGGTTCTGAAAACCTCCACGCTTCGAGCACTTACACATGCAAGTTGTATTAAGTTGGAGCATTTTCATAAAAATATAAATCGGTTTCAAGATTTTTCAGGACTACAGCTATAGATAAGCAAATACTTGTATTCAGCCAACCAGGCTCATGTTCAGTATTCAGCTTTTAAATTTTTTCCTCTTGGTAATTTTTGTTTTGCTGAATTTATGGAGCTCTATGAAACAATGCATACAGAACTGTGTATAAATAATGTACATGAGGCATATGCATTACCAAAATGTATACATATATACACATACAGATGGATTTGAAAAACATTAACGGAACTTGTTTAATGCTTTTAAATTAACAGGAATTTAAAGACACCATACATATATTGGTATATGCATGGCAGAGGAGGCTGTGTATGCTTATGACATACAGAAACAATGAAAGTTCTCAGACAAAACCTAACTTATCCTCGCATAAGGAAAAAGTATATGTTCCGACAGTATGTTCAGTCAAGTTTCAGCTTGTATGGGGAAAGTCTTTTCAGTAAACGTTTTAATAAACCAGAGGAACTTCATATATGAAGCCTGAAAGATGGTTTATAGGAGAGGCATAGAGTACACTTCATTAAAACCACCATATATTTGTTCCTGGAGAAATTGTTACATCATGTTCCAAACTATCAGGTGTTTTGGGGTAGAAGTTTTACATGAAAAACCTTAAAGTTATGAGAATTACAGAAACTTTTTTTTTTTTTTTTAAAAAAAAGATCAGGCATTTATTCTATTTCTGTTGTGTTAGTTATGAAAATGTTATACTTCCACAGTCTGTTTCCTAACTGCACCCAACGCTCAGGACTTTATCTGTATTTGAAAGAAGCTGTCACCTCCCTCATCACTTGACTCCACCTCACTTTTACTCCATGAAAAATGAATGTAACATCCATTTTCCACACACTGACAGAGCACATGAGATCTGATTCCACTTTATTATAATCACACTTCGGTTGAAAAAAAAAATCATTTGTAAACTTGGGACTCTGCAGTTATTACCAGACTAAGACTGGAAAGAAAAATAAAGGCTTGCATCTCTTGCATGGCTCAACGGTATGATGCAATTTACTATCGACGATGTCCAGTTTGCAAACTGTTCTTATTTTTGTGCCAATAAACCTCAATAAACGAGCAGTTCCCTCCCTCCAACAATTTGTACCCACGCTACAGACCACTCCAGTGGTCAGTGAAGACCACAAAGTCTGACTTTTTGGAGTTCTGCATCATACACGATTACCACATTTTTTTTTTTTTTTTTTTGCAAAAGGTTTCAGCGTGAAAGGGAAGGGGGGGTAGAGGTGGGGAATAAGAATCAGAAGTAATTTTTTGTTTTTATAAAGAAGCGGCAGCAGCCAAGACTCAGAAGGACCTAACTCTAAAGCCATTTCTGGTCAATTCCTGTTGTTTGCCGGATGATGTAATAGTTGATTCTCCTACCGTGACCCGGCTGTTGGTGCCCGGGTTCCCTCCCAGCCTGTAGTTGTTGTAGGCCAGATGGCTGTATGGATTGTATCCCACAAACCCTGGTGTGCTGGGCATTTGCTGATGGAAACAAATGAGACAAAAACACGAATGAGAAATGAGCTCAAACGAGGAAAACACAGAAATGAAAGTGAACTGCAATATGGCATGCAAAAGCAACCAGATTTAAACAAGCAAATGAGGTGTAGCAGTTGGTATCTTCTCAACACAAAACTTACTCCAGTATAAACCTATTAAGGAAACAGGATTTTTAAGCAAATGTGTCACTACAAATTTCTGTCTCAAGTTGATTTTATTTCTATTAAGTGTGTAACTCATTTAAACAAGTATTCTAGAAATCCAGCTCATGCCTAATAAAATTTTTCAACATAATTCACCAAGTAATTCAGAAATACTCTTATATCCAAAGGCTCAGACTTACAAGGCAACACAGCACACAGTTATCAGGCAGAAATCCCCAGTATCAATATTTACTACGTCAGTGAAAATCCCTGTCTGCTTTTCTTCCCGTTATTCTGCCTTTCTGAAAAATATTACACTGTGAGTAAACACGGGTTAAAAAAAAATAAAATTCTCTCAAAGCACCATCTGTGCACCACTACCCGTGTCTGAAGACTTTCCTGGTGGTTTGCAGAATTTAAATATCTTGGGGAAGTGGGATTAGAAAGCTGGGAGAGAAGAAATTCACAGATATCCTTCTGTAATGAGGCAGGCTGCAGACTGACAGGCCTGAGGAACCACCGCAGTAAGATCTACAGGTTAGAACTACAAACTAGTCTTAACAGATCACTGAACCCAAGACAATTGAATAAGTTAATCGATACATCTTCATTTGTTCTCACCTCGGCAACACAGAGAAAAATTTCTTTACAATCCCTTCTTACCTGTCATTTACATACAATCAAGTAGCAGAAGGTTCACTGTATTCCCCTCTTCACAAAAATCACTGACTTTTTTCCATTATCCCTCACTTCCCAACCAAATTTTGTCGGAAAATATGGATCAACTATTTATAACAGTATCTGTGATCAGTTCCTGACTGTGGTAGTCCTCTGACTCCATGAGGATTCTCAATGCCCTGTAGTGTTTCTAGACAGTAAATGTCACCCACAGTGTCCCACTCTTTAGTAGCACCTGGGCCCTAACGACAAACACATATTCCAACAGTCTCTTAAAGTGATTTGCTGACTGGACCCATTCTAGATTAGTTACAAAAATTCTACAAATAGGTTCAGGACTCCAAGAACCAAGGTGTGACAAATACAAACACTGAACAAAACCAACCTGTAATAAGCTAAACTACATTATCTTGAGGAGTTTTCAAGCATACGTAGACACGCTGTAATTAGTTTATTTCTAAATATACAAATACAGAGTGAAATTACCCTTTAACAGTCAGCCTTCACATATTTTATTGCCAAACTTTAACTCAGTCACAGCAGTTGACATTTACTCAATTTGTATGCCTGTGATCATGACATACACATTCACTATTTAATAAGATGCTATTTTACTACAGTTTTCTGTATTACCATAGTAACAGGTTTTGAGTATGTTGAACTACACCTCTTCAATAAAATCAGATGACAATTGTAATCTCCGTCTGCTTAATTCTTTATTTCTGCAAGACAGGATTTAAACGTTACAAGGGAACTACCTCGCATTACACGGAGAATTTTTACTTCAGCTCTAATACTGTAGTTACGAGAACTACTGAGATTTTGTTGACTGTAGTAACTGGAACTGGCTGTGGAAGAATAAACAAGGTTATTTCTCTACTTTTATGACTTTTATTAACAGAACAGAGGCTAACATCTCAAGGACTGTATAAATATAATACAGAAGATGCTTGAAAGACAGGTAATGCATGTCACTAGCTGCAGTTTTGCAGTTTGTTACTGAAGGTTTCTGACTCGAGAACACACCACAGCAAGGTGCACGGTTTAACAACCTCTGTGCCCAGGCACAGCTCCCGATGCAGGAGCCCAGTGGTGAGAGCAGATGCCATCGTGTTCCTCCCAAGACTGGCACAAATCTATCCAGTTGTGTGCAAAATGAAAACTCTGAACCAGCTACGCAAGTGAAGTTTTATTTATGTAAATTTGTAAGACCGTAACTTGTATTTATACATTCTGTAATTTTCAAGCTTCTTTAAATGTAAGGTAGGGCACAATAAATTTGAAGGATCCTATTTCATCTAAATCCCCCCCTGCAGTTTTCATCCCATGTGCAAGGATCAGGGACACTCTACTGAGTAACAGTTTTCCAGAAATTGTCTTTGGCAAAAAAAAAAAATTTACTATAGCACCTTCGCTAATTCTTCTGTGCTAGATGTTATTTTCTCATGTATGTTACTCCTAAAACACAAGCTGTTTAGAAGCGTGGACACCACAGAAGAGCTGCATTTGCTTTCAAACGCTCTCCCGAGCACCACGTGCTGGTGTTTCAGAGCCGCTTTACAGCTGCATGAATGCACGTGGACATAATTCAGAGCTACTCTTCAGTGCCTCAGTGCCACCCCACACCATTTTACCTGAAAGTGAAATATTCCTCATGCCCTAGACTCCACGGTATCAGTGATTTCAGGAAATTCAAATAAGACTGGCATCATGGGTGTTTTATTACTCTGACCCAATATAACAGAATTTCACAGTCCTGCATGCCACTGAAAATCCGTCTAGGTACAACATGAAAAAAAACCCCACACTATTTGCCTGTGATCTGGGCACAAGTTGAGTGGGCAGTTTTAGAATTAAACAGATCAGTTTGTTCTTAAGTGTTCCAGTATACTGTTGCAACCCACTGTGAATAATTTTAGACCAACTGACTGCTTACAGAAAATTAAGTACCTACAGGATCTAGCCTTAAAAATGAAACGACTTTATTCAGCTTCTCTTTCACAAACTGCTTAAAAAAAAAGAGAAGAGATTAATTTAAACAATGCATAGCATATTAATGATGGAATACAACTAGTCTGTGTTTCCAATACAGAAAGGTGATGCAACTCCATAACTATTGCTCTGGTAAGTTATTAAAGGCTGTATTACCAGCTCGGTGTTAATGAGAAAAATCACTATACTTACGGTTGCAGGAGCTGGGGTAGGAGGTGGGGCATAAGATGGCCTTTCTGTTAAGATATAAATGTAAGCAAACGTTTTTTTTCTTGAGAATTTGAATAAATTCTTTGTAAGGCATCTGCTGCGGCAAACATTTTAAAGTGATTTACAAAAGCAAGACAGAAATCCTACTCTCAAGAGATTTCGTATTTTGCCACTGAAGAGAGTAAAGCAACGAACACAGGGGTAAGAAAAAAATTTAAGACCACACCATTGCTACATCGCTAGGCTTTTATTTAGGTGTAAGACTGAAGAATATGAAAACCATTTATATGCACATCAGTTAAAGAGCGTAAGCAAAAACGCTGTGAAACAAGATTTAGGAGGAGCTATGATATCTGGATTTCGTATGAATACAATACGCCAGAAATCAGCCACAGCAAGATTTAAGGCCAAGAGTTTGGTCAGAAATGACTACACCTCATCACGTTCCTTTTAATGCAAGGAATCATCGGATTATCTCACAAACAGGTTCTGTTGAACCAGATCTTTAATTCATCAAGTTAAAGGAAGAAAAAAAATCTGGAAACTTACTTGACATTTTGATAAGCAAATTTTCAGCCACCTGACATTATATTTGTACTTCTGAAAGACAAAAGAATATCACGCTATTAAGTATTACGCCTTTGCTTCCCCAAATCTTTGAAACTTCTATTATTATAGTCACTATCGACTAGCAAAAAGTTTGCCAATTTCGAAATAAAGACAAAAGGGTTTCTAAAAACTAAGCTGTTACCTCTTTGAAAAATGAATGTACTTTCCAAGGAATCTGGCCTTAAATAGCTGTGAAACAACACTCAGGTTTATGTTAGCGTCACAGGAAAACGTTTTAAGTATTTTTTCCCCCCTTAAGAAATAAAATAGATCTAATAAACTGTTGCAGAAAACTGGTATTAATGGATTAAGAATCAAATTAAATAGAATCTCCTTTACACGGTACAAAAAAAAAAAAAAATCATC